CCTCCTTAGTTTGGTGGAATCGCTGCTTACAGCTCTGAGCCTGAAGAAAAAAACCCACCACCAACCACCCAACTGCCCCAAACCCAACCCTAATCCCGCCACATCTCCTTCCCCAGTCCTCACTGAGTTGAAACTTCAGGAAATCTCTCTCAGATCCTGACTGCACCTCTTGCTGGTATGCTTTCTTGAGGTCAAGAAAGTCTGAAGTGCTCGTGTCTGACAGGCAGGTCACAGATCTCTAAAGACAGACACTGGGAAACCACACTGAGGAATCTCACGTAAAACCTGGCCTCTTCAAGAAGCCCTTGCTTCCAACCACCCCCCCAAACATCTCATCTCACCGTCTGTCGTCTCTGTGCAGTTTCACACATTTGGTAGCCACATGCCATGCAATTTTAAAAACTCACTCAGACACCTTCACTCTCACCAGCTGCGCATGCATCCACGCCCTTCACCACCATACACACACACAAGCCAATGTGTACAATAAATGGCTTCCAGCCAGGAACTACTAAAAATTAACAGTTTCTGAGGAAGAGGTTAAGGAAATAACATGCACTTTTTGATGACTGATAAGGAGCTTGCTTACTTATTCACATTGTCACTTGTGTGTGTATGTGCTCTGGATGACTTGAGGTGGGACTGCCATCTTTACAGACACCACAGACGTAACTCTGCTCCACCTCTCACGGGGCCGCGCAGGGGCTATATTGGCAAGACGACTGCCCTCAGTTGCACTTTATGGCATCGTGTATGAATTGATGTTTTCTTCGGTGAAGTCGCCGATGGAGTTCAAGCTCCGCCAGAGTACATGGAGGGCAGAGTCCGCATGGAGCCCCATGCTACAGCTCCAGGCTCCTACAGACTCTGCAGAGCAGCGCTGCCTCTCCTCTTCAGCTGGCACTGAAGTCCGGCTGAAAGAGCTGCTGCCTGAGTAACTCCTCCTGGCTCAACAACTTCCCACCCGCCTTCCAGTTCTGGTACTTTTGTCAGCCCCATTGGAATATTTACTGGATTAAAAATAAAGTAATAAACACAAAAATCCATGTACTGTCTTTAGAAGTGGTTTTCATCATTGCCTGGAAATCACACATAGAACACACGCTCATCTTGCACGTCCCAGGTGCCCTCAGCCCCCTACCTTCTCTCCCCAGAGCTCCTGGCTGGCCTGAAGTTCCAGCATCAGGAGGGAGGGCAGAGGGGATCCCTCCTTTCCCCTGCTGTCACCAGCAGCCAGAGGCCTGGAGAGCAGGCTGCTATCCAGCACAACTGGCTGCCACGCCATCTTGCCCTAGCCCCCGTCTGTTCCCTTCCTTCAATAAAACTGCCACGCTCCTGCTACCTGCTCAGCTGCACAGGAGGAAAACCAAGTTTTGAAACCCAACTGTGAAGGAGCCAAATGCTGCTTCGCTCTGTACCTTGCTTGTTAAACCTGACGACTTCGGCGTGAGCTGCTTAAGGCTTTTTAATTTGGCCCCCAAGCCAGTGTTCTGGGAGCCTCCTGCTGCATTTCTGCACACCTCTGACTTCAAACCTGGAGAGCAGGATGAGGAAAGAAGGGCAAAGACACTGCAGTGCTTTCTTATCATCATAAATATCTTTATTGTGAAAAATACCATAAAATAATTCCCGCAGTTCTAGAAAAAAACAGTTCTTGCTTTTTAGATTTATGATTTTATAGAAAGACATTTTATGATTTGAAACATTTGATAAATCTCTGGCTAGCTTTACTTACCCTTCTCAAAACATAAAACTGCTACTTTGAGATTTGCTGAGGGAAAAAAAAAAAAGAATTATTCTCCCATTTATTTTTTTATTTGATGGATAAAAGTGTGTATTACAGAACAAACAAACAATACCTTACAATAAGGCACTTTTAAATACAACTAACCTGCTATGCTATACTGGCTCATTGCCAGCAAAGCTCCTACAAATCACAGCCCTAAACAGAAGAATAATTCTTATTCCAAGCATTGCTCTGAAAACTGAAACGACAACAAGCTTTATTTTTTTAAATGAATTTAAGCTGACACATGTTCTGCGTATGTCACAAGTTTCAGCTCTTATGTTTATGATTCACTTTAATACTGATTTATTAATACATCAGTATTGAGCATGTATCAAGTAAAATACACTGCCCCCCACCTTCATTTTAAAACAAGTTGGAAGCCAGTTTATTAAAACTGAAAGAGATATTCAACAGAGAAAGTCTGCATCTACATACAGGCCAATTATTGTTAAGGATGCTTCATGCACACCTCGGGGTTTACAAACTACCAAGACATTGATTTCAATGTTCAGGTACTGAATATTATTGCACTACAAGACACCCACTAATAAATAAGAAGGCGACTTCAGCTTCTTTGTGCATTGCTTGTACCGTTAACCCTCGGTGTGGTACCAGCACTTCATTTTCTAAAGTCACACCAGGAAATGCATCACTGTATCTGGAGATCCTCAAAACGTAAACGCTTTCTTTTTAACACAACTCTGCCTTTCTGTGTTTTCAGAAGTACCTTAGAGCTAAGAGCCAGCATCTGCTCCCCTAAAAACGGCAGCAGAGCAGTAACACTTCTTGTAACCAGCAGCTGCTGAATATCGGGAAGCCTTGTTCTTCATTGGAATTTTTTGGTTTTGTTTCCAAAACAGTCTTTCACAGAAGGAATCTATGAACAGCATTCACACATTAATCATCTTCCTCCTTCTACGGACTACATTGAAGACTTTTTTTTCTTAGTACGTAATTTTCACTTTCCCATTCATTCTCAAAATAAACATAATCCTTTCTGCTCCCGACTGCTTCCAGTGCACAGCAGAACTGTCCACTGCCTTAGAGAAAGGAATCGGCTCTGCTCTAACGTCAGTGCCTATAACACGTAATTTATTTCTCAGGGACCATCTTATTCCGTCTGTCAAAGAAAAAAATTAAAAGCTGGGAAGCAATTTTCTCCACTATAGCTTTTAAAACAGAGAAGGGAGACAGATGAGAACCAAAAAGCCAAACAAAGGTAGTCCCTTAACAGAAGATGTGTCACTTCTAGCACTTCCCCCGCACACAACCATAGGTGGCTGCAGTGTTTACTCCGATTCCCTGAAACGAAACACCACTCCTGTATGTATAAGATATGACATACTGCTTACATGGGTCATTCAATGTTCATTTAAAAACAGCCCCTTCCCTAGTGAACAAGGCAGCACAAAAGTGTTTATACAGAGCAACGGCTCACATGCACCCGACGTACAGGGACTGAGGGTGTCATGCTGCAGGTGAAGGCCACCGATCCATGATCTGGTACTTACTGCCAGCAAAAAGCACGCGCGCAGAGAGAGCCACCCGCGTTGGCTGATGCCACTGAGTAATGGGTTGTTTACTGTGCAGCAAGTTCCTACATCTGAGCCCTCGAGGTCCTACGAGAGCTGTGCTAGCCTACAACGGTGTGAAGAGCATCCCAAGCATCTTCCACAGACTTTAAACAAAAGGCTTCAGACAGGTCAAAAGTAGAAGTTGAACTTCGAGAAAGTGATTCAACTTGGGCAATATCTGACACTGGAGTTTAATAGGCTGCTGAGCTGTTTTTGTACCACCAACTGGTACAAACCACCACATACAGTCTCCATCTTGACAATAAATTTCTGCTTAACAAACACAGACCTTTAAACTGATGTTGAAGAAACGAAGCCACACGGTCTCACAATGATGTTTGTAAAGTACTTGAGGCAGGAGACAAGGGTTATGCTTCAATGGCAACTCCAATTACAGTAATAAAACCCCCACTTTTGGACTGAAGGCTTTATTTGTTCATTTCGTTTGTTTTACTGAGGCCGCTTATGCTTTCAAATGCCATGAGTTGAAGTGAGAAAAGATTCCTATCAACTGATTATTATTTTCCAGTTAAAAATCCAATCAAGAAAACAGGGGCAAACTGCAATTCTTGCATTCTAAGAAAGTGGCTGAAACTCGTCAGTAATTATGACCTATTCAGTTACAGAATCAGACTACTCCCTCCTAGCAGCTCCAGTCCTGGTAACACCTCACATCGCATTCACGCAGTTCAGTCAATTACACTAAACCAATTTTAGCTACCTGCAGATAGAAAAAGTAAACCAGACTTTTGGCTAATGGAAAGTTAGTCCCTCTTTTTGCACACGGTTGTTTTTGCAGGGTAAGGCTAGAGTTGATATCGTATTCCTACAGTCCGCAGTACGCTCGGCTCACAACCTGCATCAGTTCCGAGTTTGTGTACAGAGAAGTAACAAATTGCTGCCTACTCAGGAAAATATCACATAAATTTTTTTTGTCAAATCTCAAGCAGGTATTTTGTTAAAGTGCAAACTACTCAAAAACAATACCTAAACGTCCCAAATCACATTCAGAAAGAGTCTTTTGAAAAACATCAGGTATATTTTTTTACTGTCATAGTTGCCAATTACTGCCAAGGAAATCACTCCAATTCATTTCAGGCCAATGAATAAAGCGAGCAGACATTTTCAAATACAATTACTTACAAGCAATCTTCCTTCGGAGTGAGTGTTCAGACTCAGTCGGTGCGCAGCCCCTTCGCCTTACCTATAGCGCTGCTGACAGTGACACAGCAGGCGGTCACTGGGGGTTCCTTTTAAGGACACTGAGAGATGGAGCGTTCTGCCGAGCACGACGACTAACAATTTGTTAACGTAGAGACTCTTGTAACTACCTTTTCCATGTTCATTAAGCCCCGATCCAGAAAAATATTTACATGCATTTTTACCTTTAAGCATATACTTGAGTCCTAAATTCCTGTTTAAGTGTTGTCCTAAATAGCCTCTTACTGTTTTTTCAATCCATAGGAATAAACACATCCTGCATACCCACGACAAATACACAGGCAGTAACAAATCCTCCAACCAGCATGAGCTTGTCAAGTTCACCACAAAGCAAACCCTCTGAAGACTAAAAGAAAGAAGGAGTTTTCTTCTCGTGCAGTCAGACTCTGGGTTAAGGACAACATTAGAAATTAAGATTTTGGGTCTTGAACCAAGAGACTTTTTATTTCTCAACAAATTAAGTAAAAACCAGCAGCAGCCACCAGAAACAGTCTTGGCTCTAACTGAAGTGAAATTTGAACGTAAACGGTCCTCCTCCAGAACCAAAGGGGTTGAATCCTTGCCATGTGTTCCAGTTCCTGTGGAAAGGGTTGCCCCCACCCTGCTGACTCTCCGCATCCAGTGGGTCCTCTCCCGCATCAAACTTCCGCCTCATTTCTGGAGGAAACAAAACCAAGGTGGAATCACGGCACAGTCATTAGCGCAGTAACACCAAACATCTTTGATAACCAACAACCAATTCGGAAGCCCCCAGGCCAGAGAGCCCCAACTATCACTTGTATTGGCAGCATCTGTAGAACCTAATTATGGAGTTTTTCCAAGCTGTCCAGGAGACGGGCAGAGGAGAAGAGACTAACTCCATGAAAACACTGTACAAAAAACTTCAAACAAGTTCTTTAGTTTAAAACAAGTACCTGGCTGTCCAACAGGACAGGTATGAATTTCAACAGGGACAGGACAGTTGCACTCTGACCAACTGCGTCCCACAAATAATTGGGACATTTTGTCCTTGATGAGTTTATTGCACCTACACTCTCACAGCCGCGCTCACTCAGGATGGTCCGAGGACAGACCATGCTGTATCCCGCCAATTCTTTGCAATCAATTAATTCCAATATTGGTAATTCAGCAACAGCATGAAAGTCAGCATGCAGAGCCCCAAACTTTTTCAATCTTCTCCACGTACCATTCAGGCAGAGAGCTGTCTAAGGGACAGCGGTTTGGAGGCAGAAAGCATGTTCTTCAAATAGTTTTGTGCAGCAGGGACAAAGTTGAAAACCTTCCCCAAGACTCACAGACAAGCCACAGGCTACACTGCTACTCTGTTATTTACACCCACATACAACTTTCAAGCAGCCTGCAAGTGCCACAACGTTTTTCATCACCTGGCACTTTTTCAGGACACCCATTTTATCAAGGCAGACAAGGGAAGCAAAGGAGTTAGGGGGGGAATCCAGAGCCTGGCTGGGGGATGAATGAGGAAGATGGCCTCACAGTGCACCAGAGCCCTATGATAATAAGCTTGCAAATCAAAGCTCAGAGATTCAGAGGTCCACAAGCTTTATAGTTTTTCTTTACATAACCAACATCGTCACTAGAGCCAGAAAATTGACCTGGGAAAAATATCTGGATGAAAGGAGAACATGTCATTGCAGTAAGAAGAGATGGAGAGCAATACAGATGGCATTACACAAGCCAAAAAGACCAGTGTTACTTTTCTTGCTCAGTTGGTTTCATAGGAACAGTAAACAGGACATAAGAACCAGTGTCAAAGAGAAAGTAGATGACCGTGTCCTGGAGATGCTGACAGGGCAAACAGCACCTCAAATGCTTCCAGTATATAAATCTCCTAATTTATGTTCATAATGATGAACAAAGATCACATTAACGCAGGAAAAGGTTTTCTGACCAGAATTGTTTACAACGCAGTTCATGACTCTCAGATCCCTCCATCCTCCAAGAAAGTCGGAGCCCATCTGCCTAATTATCACTTCGATGATCCTGAACGGTTGAAGATAAAAATGGGAGCCTCCAGTATCTACATCATTTATGTTATTCTCTCTTTCCAGTGACCATACAGGAACAGTTTAAAGTCAAGAACTTAACAGATGGCTCTGGTTGAGGGGAGGGTTCTGTTTGTTTGTTTGGGTTGTTTTTTGTATTTTTTTGTTGGTTGTTGTTTGGTTTCTTTTTTCTTTGTCAGTTGTCTGGGTTTGTTTGCTTGTTTTTATTAAAGGAGGTGAGATAACCACACCAGTCCATTTTTTATTACATTCTTGAGACGAAATCATCCAACATCTTCTGTTCATCTCTTGGCGAGACAGACATCAGATCTCCTACTCACCACGCCACAGGGTCTCCCAGGAGAGCGAGGGCGTTCTTCACTTTGTTTCCCTCCTCCAGAGATGACCAGCAGACAGTCAGACCTGACAGGGTTCCTTGCTCCTCGGGACCAGGCTGGCCCCAGGAGCCTGGCCATCAACCAGCAACAAGGGCATCCCCTCCCTCAGGCCAACAGGAGCCAAGAACTCAGTTCCCTGCCCTCGGAGAAATGTTCTGTTTGCACAACGCTTCTAGGCTTTGAGGCACACAACAAGGGCAAATTCTGAGAGCTTCTCTGGAGTACTTTGGGTGCTGCTATAATCTAAATGTAGTTTGCAATAGAACTTTAGGCAGAAGGAGACACCCACAGCCTTTTAATCGATCTTGGAAATCTCTGCAAGATACCATCCTTAAAAGAGACCTTTGAAATAACAATTTTTATTTGAATTTAAACAGAAGTCACTGAAAGACATAAATAATTCGAGGTTTACATCTGACTTCGTGCAACAGATTGGATGCCTAGTGCATTGCTTTCTCAAGATGAGTAAGAGGAGAAAGGGAAAAAGGGAAGCTGTACTGCTTGTTACGACTTAGGCTTGCTGCATTACTGTAAAAAAGTAATTAAAAAATGAAGTCACTTCATAAGAACAATCATTACCTGGGTCAGTGAGGACTTCTTTAGCAGCTGCTATATCAATGAATTTTTTCTCTGCTTTCTTCTTTTCTTCCTCACTCTGGAAGTTATCGGGGTGCCACTGGGATGCCAGCTTTCTGTAAGCTTTTATGATTTCTTGCTTTCGAGCATTTCTGGATGGACAAAATTACAGATAATTTAAATTTTTCTAATTGTGCATGTATCATACTGGTGAATCCATGGGTTTATTTTTATTTTAAACATTGAGACAGTAATTAAGGGCATCAGGAAAATTATGAGGTGCTAGCTGACTTTCTGCAGGTGGCACTGAAGATTCTTTACACAAAAACCAGAAGAAGCAGGTTGCAACTTTAAACAAAGAGTACTCATTCTTTCCTTCACCACCTATTTACTTTCCTTGGAAAGATGCTACCGCTAGCTACTATGCAGAATACAGTGCCCAGTCTGAAGAATTTACAATCACGTGAGTAACAAAAAGCACCAAGAGTAGAGATCAAATCAGTTCACGATTGGAAGGAAGACCAGTACTAGTTCAGAACTGGACATGTGTTTGGTCCTCATTAGAAAGAGGAGTCATTAGTTTCTCAAGTTTAATGACAAAAATATTTTAGATACATTTCAGCTAGTCCTTTCAAACTCTTCCAATCACTACCTGCCACAGTTTTATCTTTGGTTGCTTTCAGTAATTCTTTCCAGTCTTCATTTCTTCCTCAATTCATTCACCTGACTTTTGATCATCTATACTAAGAATTTCTAGCCAAGGGACTTCTTTCCTTCCTTCCTAACGTTATTTTTACATTCTTTCTAAAGGAACTGTAAACAAAGGCTACTTAAGAAATGAACACTGCTAAACTAGTACAGTAGGGAAGTGAAGGTAGCAAGATACAGGAACAAAAACTAACGCTCAGCGGGACAAATTCAAGCGATCAGCCCTAGACGTAGTGGTTTAATAACCAACTTTCACGTCATCACCTCAGATATTAATATCTCACCTTTTTACTCCTAAGATTTTATAGTAATCCCTCTTCTGTGATTGCTTCAGCATCCTCTGGGCACGTTCCAGCCCCTCCCGAATCTGCTGGTCATTTTCACTATTGGCTTGAGCAGTCTCATAGTCTTTAATAGCTTTGATAAAAAAAGTGAATGAAAAAAGATTACACAACTCCTCACAAACTTCAATTTAAAGAACTCAACCACTCATCAAAATTGAAGTTTTGCTATTACCATATATATACAGCAAAACTTTTATTTCAACTTGCCATGGTTTTTTTCCAAATCAGAAAACCCTGGAGTACAGGAGATTCATTTTTACATATAAATTGGGTAATTTTCTTTCTTTCGGTTCACCATCCTTTTTGGAAAGGAAGGAGAAGGAAGGTTACTAGTGGTAGGTCCGAACACTCTCTAGGTGTTACAACAGTCACATGGAGGAACATAACGAGCATCTAGGACTAGGATGAAACAGAAGTCAAGAAGCAAGTTTCAGCAACTAGTATGTGAAGAGCCCGCTGCATGTTAGTCCCCCATCACTGTTCAACTGAAGGATGCATTATACAGAGTCTTTAAATTAATATTCCTTCTTTTCCCACAGTCTGCACTCAATCAACATGATAGAAAGCCTTTTCCTCTTTAATGACAATAAAGATGATTTCAGATTACCAGTAAGTTCATACTGTTAGTGAAAGACAAATACTTGCTTTTTACACCTCTGCATAATACGCAGGCAGTTGTATTTTAAGGGTTTTTTCCCAAAGGCACACTCTCACTTTCATTTCAAGAATTGCATTTCTCAGGAATGAAAACAAGAGACGTGCTGTAACATATTCATGAATTTTTAAGAAATTCCAGGTCTACTTTTTTTTTTTTTTTAAAGTAAACCACATTATTATAAGTGGTAACTGAATGCTTAAGACATCAAGTTTAAATATTCTTTGATATCAAGATTTATCAAGGGAAGCAATTGTTGAAGTCTTTAATGAGACTGTTCTTCTTTCACTGTTATAATTCTCCAAGTATCATTTGCAGATCCAAGTCTCCTAGGTTTCTCAAGTTAGACAAAGTACTTGCATAAGATTATTTCCAAGCAGATGCTGTTTCTCAGCAGGGGTTACATTTGTTTTTCACTGCTTCTGAGCAAGACAGCAGGAAGTGCTGATGAATTTGTATTACCCAGACATCTGATATCACTGCAATCTTGTTTTGGTTATTGAAAAAAAAAATTCCAAAAGTATTTCCAGTGTCCCCACAATTTCATATGCTATCACAAAGAAAACAAAGTTTCTGTTCATTTTCACATCACTGGACACTATCATTTGCTGCTTCAACAAAGCATTTTGGCTTCTGCTGGTATTTAATAATTTGCCCAGTCATTAAAAAAACCCCAACAAATGGGAGTGTACACTAATCTGTGTGCCCAATATAACCCATCGAAACTGATAAAAATAATGAAAATGCAGGGATTTCATTATGCTGCTTTACCACTCCAATAACTGTAAGCATCAGTGTACTTAATCTGCTTCACATAATAATGGAAGGTCCCATCACAGCGCCCTGCCGAATGCAGATCGGACTGCTCAGCTTCACTGGGCACCACATATCATTTACAGCACACACCACTGCTGGAAACCAAGCTGCTCAGGGGTCATGTGTTTGCAATGACAGTACCAGATTTCTCTCTTTTTTTTTTTTTTTTTTTAAATTGACTCCCTTATTTAAAGGCCACAAGTACTAAGCATACAGGAAGGTATGTTTTTTAGTGCTGCACACCGCAGAGGGAATGCACCCAGCACACCTGATGGCAAGTACATTTTGCCTTTTCTCTCAATTGGAAGAGACTTCAATTCTGACGGTACTCTCCAGTGCAGGAGTTTTCCTCTGTCAGAGAGCTAATTGCTCTCTCCACCTGAGAGGTGATGGCTGGAAGCAGGATGACAGCTTCCTGACCACAAGAAGTTTGCTACGAAACCAGGAGACTTATTACTAATTCATGGTATGTCGAGTGAGATATTTAACCGATTCTTCTCAGTCACTATTTCTAAAAGCACTAGTACCTGACAAACCAACACAAGCATCACTGCTGCTTCTTACTGGCCTGCTATTTGAGACAGCATCCTTCCTTCCTTTCATCCTGTCCCATGATGGGAAAGGAACAACCAGTTTCCGCTATCATGTTCAATTTAAATACTTTAGTCCAATCTAACTCTCCTCCTTTAAATACAAGAGCCTTCACAGTCTCTCAAACAGTAATTGCATCATATCTCTAAACACCTTAGCTGGCTTTCCTATCTTGCCTGCTTCTTTAAAACAGAGTGACCAAGATCGCCCATTATTCCATACGCAGAATTAATTTCCTATCAAACATGAGTAACTGCAGACAACCTATGTCCATGCCAACTCTGTTCGAGCAGTAACTGAATCAGTTATTCTCTTACTGAAATAGGGACTGTTTCCTCTACAGTAGTAGGCTGGGGAGGAAAAAAAAAAAAAACAAAACCAAAACACCAAAATAAGGAGGACATCCTGACCAATTTGAAACAGCAAGGTGTTTCTTTTTTTCCTTTGACAAAATTTATGCTGTATACTTTAGACAGACTCCTATACTTATGAGGTAAGCCAGCAAGGGAGTCATTACACATCTGTCTCTGTAGACAAGCCCTGGATCCCATGTTCTTATACAGTAAAATAATTTGATGGGAGTCAGAACTCAGCAATACATGCTGAAGTGCATCTTGAACATTTAACAATAGTTCTGAACTATAAGTACTTCGAAACTTCCTGTCTTTAAACAGAAAAATAGGTGCTTTCAGCTTGAAATTTTCCTGAGGGAAGAATAGGAATCAGCTGCCCCTTTAAATATGAGACCACAATTTTAATTGCTCTATGGTTCTCTACAGCAGAGAGAAATCAGCCATTATTTTCGAGCAGTTAAAACTGAAGGATAAATGAAGACACCCTCAGGCAGACAAACATTAATAGATGAGAATATTGTTTATGGAGGCTCTGCTGGAAGGCAGAGTGTAACTACAACCATCTCACTACTGTCAAGGGCAGGAGAAAGGCAGGGGATACGCTAAACAACAGGGATTTAGCGCAGCACAGTTCCACTCTAGCATGGTTGTCCGCTCAGAACCAGGCTAGGCCAAGCCCAGCAGGCTCCAGTCCAGGAATTAAGCTCTCCCAGATGTCAGGTGGGTCCTCTCAGTTTCCTTATATCCCATAATACGGAGGCATTTGCTCCAGCACAAGACCAAGTTGGTTCTGTGGATTTGTTCAGGGCCTTGTTACAAAACTGTTTTTCCCCTCTAATTTGCAAAAGTTGCCAGATTCTCTCACCCTAGAGGAACCAGACATAGATAAGGATTTAATAGAAGATAATGTCAGCAAGATCCAAATTGTGGTTCATTGGTTTCAAGAAAGCAAACAGATCAATTCTGTCCGCAACTACGAAGCAAAAGGTACATCTAAGAGGACTCATAGCAGGGCCTGTCTGGCCTGCCCCTCTCTGTACCCTCCTCCAAGCTGAAGATTCATACACTTTGAGGGAAAAAAATCCTCTTAAATTTTCTTTGGGTTCTGCTTTTGCTGATACTCCTTCCTCTTCAATCAAAAGCCTGGTACAAGTCGCAATCTATGCAGATTTGTATTCTGTACCTTTATCTATTTTTAGGGAAATATTTTTGGTTGGTTGGTTGTTTTTTTTTTCCAATTAATTTGTAAATCTACTTTTCCCAACACTGACTGAGGTTGCTTCCACTGTACTGAAGTACAGAGAAAGATGGGGAAATGCCCAAAGGTGAAATCTTCCTGACCCTTCTAGGTTGACACTGCAGTTCTAAACAATCAAAAGATGGAAAAACATTACCCTAAGAAAAACAGAAAGATAATTTTTCCTCACAGTTTAGAGTTTTTTTAAGCAATCCTTTTGTACAAAGGGCATCAGTTCTCTGAAATACTGTTGTCTTCCACCCTTCTTCTTATAAAGAGGAAGAAAGCCTTGCCAGCCTCGGCAAAGAGGGACTAGGACTGGGTCACTTCAGAGGTACAAAGTCTACAGGGCTGATAAAGAGGACTACCTGGGAAACACACTAGTCCTCTATATGCCGTGTTTTCATTTGAGTCAAGAAGGCCTAAAAAAAGCAGACCAAAATAGGTATCTCATTTTCAAAGTGAACTTCAAGAGGTGAACAATATCATCCCTCAGTGATTGATTTCTCAAAAAGACAAAAAAAATCTGAGCATGCTATTAATGAGAACAGCTGCCTCATGAATGTTTAAATAGAAAAGATTTTTTTGTTCAGTTGTAAAGCAAAAGATCCAGTACTATTGTTCTATGAGTACTAAAACTAATGGAACTAGTTTTCTGCAGATTTAAAGCCTCCAAGTCCTTTCCCTCATCACATTTGACTGAAACAGCCCAACACTTCAAAAACTGCTGCATGACTGAGCACAGGGGTGGACAGACAGACTGTCCAAATTTCTTTCTTAAGCCTGGTTTCTTATGGAAATGAGATTCTATAAATTAAATTTTGAAGAATTTTTTTATAGCAGATTAGCACTTAGTACTCTTAAAGAAGCAAGGGAACATCATCATGGTGTACTCCGAGACACCCGTTACTCAGTCCCTACTTTCCAAGGCTGAAGATAGGGGACCATGTAACAATACGCATTTTATGGAAACCCTGTATGGAAAATGCAGCCTTGGGAGAAGAATCAGTCTACTGCTCTTAGCAGCAGAGACCCATGGAGGTGAAGCAATGGCTGTTACCTTCCCGAGCCCTCACACATGCTAGAGGATAGAACAGTATGGTTTCATGCTGCCACCTAAAGGCAGTAAAGTGGATTTACATCCCCCTAACTAAAACTACCTTTTATCTCTAAATGCAATTGTCCGACATTGCTGATTATATAAAATGTGTTTAAGTAAGCCGAATAAGCTGTAGTCCCCTAGACCATCCTGAACACAGCCCGCTGTTGCAAAGACAACTGTGCTGTAGGTAAAACAAGTACGTTCCACTTACACTAATCAAGACAAAATTACCAGCAGATATTTTTGTAAATCTGCAACTACCAGTGCTGATTAGGGATAACACCACAGTGTAGAATCAACGTGCATGTTAAAAAATTTTTGAAACACTGATTGCATTTTAAACACCCACAAAAAAGTATGTGCAAACTGCATACAATTATACCTTCTTCATACAGGTCTTCCAGCAAATAAGCTTCTGCTCTGTCTTTCAGGGCATTCACATTGGTCGGTTCCAGCTGCAGAACTTCTGTACAAACCTTTATGGCTTCTGTAGCCTGCTGATTCTACAGAGCAGAAAGTAAAACAAAATTCGTGCAGTTGGGGTTTGGGGTTTTTTTTGTTTGTTTTAAAGAAATTTAGAGGGAGATAAGCAGAATTACCTTTGATAAGCAGTGGCAGATCCTTTCTTTGGCACGAGTAGCATAAATTGGGACTTCTGGCTCAGTTTTCATTACAGAATCGTATTTATTGATAGCATCTTCATACCTGTTTAAATCACAACGATGAGCATATCATGAAATGTAGTAACTATTTCAGAATGTTGTGATTTATTTACAAATTTTAAAATTCACAGATTTTCACATCCTTCTAGTAACGTACCTTAACTTTAATAGTCTTACGGGTGTGGTGTGATACAATAGCATGAAGAAAATTTTCAGCCACTTCAAGAATTACATCCCCATTCCCTTTTCCAGCCTATGAAACAGAAGAGCAGGCACTATGCCTGGCAGGTTTTTGCAGAAGATAATGACTACCATCCCTCACTGTGCACAGACAACAGTCTCTAGGTTTGCCTCCTGTCCAACAAGCCCCTCTGCACTTGGAAAAATGCGTCTCCCTCTCTGATAACTGAGATGGACTAAGTCTGGAGTCCTGCTGTCAGCACTGTACTATTTCCATTTCTTGGTATAAAAGAAAAAAAGTTCTTTACACCAGCTTGAATTGGGTGGTTGTTTTCTCCCTTCCTTCCTCTCTGCAAGTCACATAGCAAATTATATTTTTTGCTGTGACGGTTTCCAAGATGCTCAAGTTCCATGGTTTGAGTAAGAAATGGACTAGAACATTCACCTAAAAATGCAAGTGTGTGATTGAACCCCTGGGTTGCTACAAGCTAGGAGAAATTCAAGCTCTCTGAAGACTCCCTGAAAATGTGCTGATACTGGATTAAACAGAAGACTACAGTGAAAAGAGTCCAAATGGACTGCTGACTTACTAAAACTGTCTTCAGTTGTGCTGATTCACTTTCCTGATGTACTTAATTTTAAGAAGCCACCTTGACAATGTTTAATCACTTTTCAGGGGTCCTTACAGTTGGACGCCGTGTGCTTGGGAACATGTAAAACTGAAATAATGCAAGAAGTAGAACACGGAGGTACTGTCTACCATTTAACAGGCTGCGTAAAAGAAGCCCATCAGTCAGATCCACTTTTGCTCTCAAGCCACTGCAGAGTTACTAGGTGGTTCTGGTTTAAAGACGTGGTCCTTTAATCACAGAATAGTTGAGGTTGGAAGGGACTTCTTGAGGTCAGCTGGTCCAACCCCCCTGCTCAAGCAGGGCCACCTAAAGCACGCCGCCCAGGACCATGTCCAGACAGATTCTGAATATCTCCAAAGTGGGAACAGCCCACAACTTCTCTGGGCAACCTGCACTAATGGAAACAAGGGGGTGGTGGGAAGTATTTCCTCATGTTCAAATGGAATTTCCATTGCTCTTGGTCCTGTCACTGGGCTCCACTGAAAGGAGCCTAGCTCCACCCTCTTTGCATCCTCCCTTCAGGTATTTATATACACTGATGAGATCACCCTGCAGCAGAAAAAGCTGGGACTGTTCCCCCTGAGCCATCTCAGCTTTTCCTCACAGGAGAGAGATGCTCCAGTCCCTCCATCATCTTATTGGCACTTTGCTGACTTTCTCTCTCAGTAGCTTCATCCCTCTTGTACTGGGGAGCCCAGCACTCCAGGTGCAGCCTCATCAGTGCTGAATAATAATGTATGTGAGCTGACAAGTAGTATTCCTATCTTGATCTTACTGCCTGCTCCACAAAGTCCAGCATACAAAGAGAAGACAGTAGCAACAGAAGGAATCAGAATAGGATTGTCACTATGTGAGTCAATATTTATTTTAATTGTAATTTGAGAGCTGTGCTCAGTTATCCACTTCAACTGACAGATGCAAAAAGCATCCCTTAACTCCTCAATAATAAGTTGGTGCCTCAGTAATGATTTTTTTTTTTTTTCAATATAGCAGTGAACACTCACCTGCCTTCTCTGATGAATTCTTCTGCTGACTCGATCTGCTTATTGAGTTTCTTTACTTGTTTATAGAGAGAGAAGCATTGCTTATGGTCTTGGTCCAGTTTCAGACACTCCCGGACTTCACTTTTGACAGGGAGGTAGGAAAAAAAAAAAAAACAACAAAAAACACCAAAACAGAAGGACAACACCACACGTTATGAAAGATCACCTAGAGACACAATGCAGCATCTATAAGCTGTCCAGAACAGCACTTGACTTCTTTACACAATCTCTCCCTTCACCCAAAAATGAATTTAAAATGAGACCAAAAAAAAGTCTTCCAGAACATACATTGATATTTGTCTGGTTTTGTTTTCAATTATTTTGTATTGCCAAATATGCAAAGATTAAGAAGTGTTACATTAATAACTGATTAAACAGCAGAAGAAAAACATACCCTGGGAAAGAAATTCTATCCAGCAGTTATCAGATACAGTTGGTTGTAATTTTCCTGTATATTTAACTCAGCTATATTACAAAATACCTATGTAGAAGTATATTTTACGCTGCCTGAAACAGACAAAGCTCAGCTAAGACCCAAACCTCCTCTTGATGGAATCTCTGCAAAGCCTAAGCTTGACTTTTCACTGTGAAGACTGTTTAATCAGACTCCGGTTAGGTCAGATACCTCTTAAACCAGTCAAAAGTCTTTAAAAAAAATCTCCAGAATGTAATCACATGAAGGAATAAAAGTTTTGTATCATATAGAGTCATCATAGCACAACCAAGGGGTTCTTTTTAAAAAGAGATCACAAAACCTTATTTTGTAACCAAGCACAGACAAAAGTATCTATTATTTGAAAATCATTAAGCCTGTGAAGCTAAGAGGGAGAAACTAAGGGAAGGATAAGATTCACCCAGCAAGTCCAAGATCTACAGAACTCTTTCTTAGTATATCTTACAATGCAAAACAAACAAACAAAATCAGAGAAGAATAAAGAAAAAGAAGCTTATCCCTTCACTCTGATACCATTCTGTTCTTCAGCAGCTCTATCAATTATATTTATAAAAATCTTAAGATTTGGTTATTAACAGAGGAAGTCTATATGTGGATTTCAGAGAAAAAAAACCACCACCTCTTCTTGACATCACTAGGCTAAGCTATGGCCAGCTACCAAAAATCACCACCGAAGTGACCTATGAGCTCCAGAGATTAAGCATAGTCTGGAAAGGGGATTCCTAATGCAAATCAATTACTTATTCGGTGTTTACTTTTGCTCAGCTATAAAATGAATTTTTGCAATTACAATTACATGCAGTTTCCATCTACCAGCCAAGAAAAGAAACTCAGGCTTTTTCCGTTCCCATCCCCTCTTACTGAAGAGATTCTGTGGCAGAAACCATACTGGAAGGAGTTTGGAGACAAAGGAGGCGCATCTAAGGTGACGAGCTGCATAGAAACCACTTGTGTGCAAAAAAAGGGTTATACCATCTGTCCAACTAGGCACAGAGTATGAAGTTAACAGTCCAGACTGGGCAAAGGCAGTTATCTGCAGGACTGGCTAGGGACATATGGGAATAACACCTTAAACTTAAACTGAATAGGAATAAAAAGGTAGGGCGTTATCAAAAAATCATCCAAAATACTGCACACTGTCTGCAAGAATGAATTGACAGCTCTGGATCCCCAGCTCCTCACACCTGGACGCTCCTGTACTTTCTATTTATTCTTGAGCTTGTAACCTTTTGTTTCCACTCTTGAAAATAAAAATCTAGCCCTAAGACTTAATGCATACATTTTTGGTTTGCATTGTAAACTTCCCTCGAATGGAAGTTCAAGGTTAAAAAAGGCTCCACCAAAGCAAGTTTAGAGAAGCACCTTCTTCTAGGATGGGAAATACAATAAAGGCAGTAAGTAGAAGCAACTCCGACGGACTTGCACTATGGCTTCTACTGAAGTAAACAAGATGCTAGGAACCATCGATGCCTGGTCTGCCAAGAATAAACATGGTGTCTTCACTGCCAGTTCTTAGCTTCTGTAAAGGAGTTTCATTTATCAGATCCAGACCAAAGTTGCTACTGCACCCAAAAACCAGACAACATAGATATTTCATGGTTTATCATGACCTATATCATCACATTTTCTGTCTCAATTATAAATGATTACAGCAAACAGTAAAATTACCTGAGTGATAATTCATGGTCCCCTAGCTGATAATATATTCTGCTGATTTTATAGAAGGCTTCAGTGTTATCATTCTTTAATTTGGCAGCAGCTTTCAAGTCACTAATGGCTTTGCTTGGCTCCCCTTCCTTTATGTAACACTCAGCTCGAAGTTCCCGTAGCTCTGCATCCCAAACACAAACCTTGAGAAATCAAAATTAAAGCTTGGTTTTGGTCCATAACACTTCACTTCTTTTCCTCCCCAACAAAAGAAAAAGCCCAGGTAATTTCACTTTGCCAGCTGCAATAGCATAAGGTTCAAGTCACATGCAGAGTGCATGAAATCAGCATCTCTGCTTCCTGACGGATGCTGTGATGCACCTGTCCAAACAGAAAACAAAGGCCTGAAAAATTTGTAAATGATTCAATGAGCTCATGCAGGGAGATGAATTAGATCTACTGGCACTGCTTAAACTAAGCCAGTCTGTTGAGCCTCCAGGGAAGGATATCAGAAGCATAAATCACTATACTTCCCAAAAGAACCGGGGTAATGAACAGCAAGGACCAAGCAGTCTGTTGTCCTCTAGAAAGAAGCCTGTAGGTAAGATTCAGCTATGCAAGATTTGACCTTAGTATCCAGATTTTAAAGATATATACAGAAGTAACAATGCCACAGTATGGCAAGAATAATTACTTAAAAGGCTCTTCTGCTTTTCCACATTACCTCCCCATAAACAAACTCCCACACTTTGGCAGTTTCTTCATGAAAAGCTAGAACGTTGTAAATTCCAAGTCGGTGTTAATTTGTGTGTGATGAGTCATAGTAGTTAACTGTCTTTTAATATGTATTTCTATATGACACACAAAATGCCCACGATTGAGTTATTTACACTTATACTATCAGACTACCTATACTGATTAAGAGTCAACAAATACAGATATCTAAGGAACAAGCCGAAAATCCAGATAGCTATGTACATTTTTAACTTTGTGATTTTTTTTTTTTTGATCTTTTGTTACTTCCTTTTCTCAAGGCAAAAGTTGCCTGCATATAGGCAATGAATAATCTAGATGGAAAAAACATACACCTCCTGTATCTGGCAAAACTTCATTGGTTTGAGAACAACTTTTTTCCTACCTACCCCAAGAACACTGAACTGTGGAAAAACAGGAAAGCATGATCAAGAAAGTTATCCATAACAGAAGTTTGGCTGGAGTTGTATCTTTAACCCAAACTACAAGCTATTAGTTTGACTTTTTTTGCAGCAGGTGCTCCGCATTCTCCACCCTCCAACATCATTACAGACTCATGGTGCTCAGCAAAACTGAGCCAGTTACACCAACTGTTTTCACATCAGTGAAGCAGTTATGAAACAAAAATACACATATGTCAGACAGGAGCACTTGCTTCCCTTTCACAGTACTATTTTACTTAACACTTACTGACAAGATTTCATCAAGAAGAGAAATAGCGGCTTCGTAATCCTCTTGCTGGTAGGCAGACAATGCTTGTGAATGTAGGCGCTGTAGCTCATCAGATTTTGTTAGCTGAGTCTGGGCTTCTTTTTCCTCATTATTGCTAGGATTGGATTTGAGCTGCAAACATTAGCAGAGAGAGAGACTGAAATGCTTGTTCAAGGATCTCTTTTGTCCCATTAATAATCATATAATGGAGAACTGATTAAAACTGCAAATAAAGCAAAATTAGTTTTAAAATTCCACTGGATCGTTTCCAGCTCCAAACTTCAGAAAAAACAAAGACGTTTCTAGCTTCAATACAAGTTGTCAGGAGTCAGCGAAATCTAATTCCTCCCCCCACCATGCTTGATCATTTACCATGGGACACATCACACACAACAGTCATTGTCCCCCCATCATCCACTCGAAGTCATGGACCTCTCAATTGTTACCTAGTTAATTTATCTCTCTGCAGACAGGTATTAAGCTGTGGATTCCTCAGCGTCAGTAGAAAGTATATCCACATGGCATAATCATGTATCTCACTTCAAGCACAACACATATTTCTAAATTTATGAGAGAAACAAATGCAACATGTCACAGTGTTACTGGAAAGCTCTGTTTTTACATTTTCCCCAGAAAGAGTGGCTACAGCAACAAATTAAGATGCTACAGATGGGAGAAAGGCTCAGCTGGGAATTTATGCATTTTGCCTCACGTGTGGTTTTAAACAAGTCTAAAGTTTCGTCTACAAAGACTCTCAATTATCAAACTACTCTCTCTGAGCAAGTAGAAGGGGTTACATTGTACTTGCCTTCATTTGTTTAGGCAGCTTTGTATTTTCAAAGAAAATAAAAAACCCCCAAAATCTCACAGGCAACTCTGCTACCACCCAGGAAGACAAATATGGGCCAGGAAGAATCTCAACCATTCCCTTGCAAAGCCAGAAAGTCATTTGTAAGATTTGCGTAGCTTGAATAAGGCACTGGCTTCACACCTGCTGCTGATCAGAATGACTTCCAAAGTTTTAAAGGGGACAGATCAGCAGGATTTGAAATATTTTTTGTTTGCTTGCTTATTTTAAAATAAAAACTTGCCCTACCTTGCATTTTATACACACAATGTTGACTCGAGTTACCGAGTCCTCAAAGCCATCCAGCACTACTACTTCCCCCCTTTATCTCTGTGGTGGTGCATTCCCCCCCCCGGCCCCTCCTCTGGGCCTTGCTACGATTTCAGGAATTCCCATTTGGTCTTGGCCTTTGTAATGAGTCGGGCAGTTAAGCGTCCCTTGACCCTACCAGGAACTCTTTCATGGCTAAGGAGGGAACAACACTGATCATACCGGCAACTCCTGCTGCCTGACCAAGGCAGAGGACGAGAGCCAGAATAATCCCTCATCCCCTGACAGTCTTGGAACATTTCTTATCTGAATTGTAGCTCGAGTGAAGCAGTACCATTGTTACCAGAACTTTGACAACTCCAGTGATCATCAACCCGGATCGCGACTGATGACTAAAGTCAATCATCTTGCGAACCTATAAACAGCAGTCCTAAGTGAAACCCTTTTAGGTCTCCTGGACCGCAGCAGGCTGCAACCAGCTCCTCCCTCTGAGTGAGATGCCTCTCAGGGCTTGCGAACTCTCAAGTTTGCGAAGTTCAGAGGTCTGTTGCCGAAAGCTGATGACAGAGCGTGGGCCAAAACCCTTCACTCCTCAAGGCTCAACCCTCACCTGCTGAGAAATGCCAAGGCATTTGAAGCGAGTATTTCACTGAACTCAAGGGGAATTTTTAACAGGTATACTTACCCCTTTATATATTTATCCCTACTGCTCTCTTTTCTGTTTGTGTACATGCGTGTGGGAACTGATTTAAATACCCTATAACAACTCAATACACTGTTACAATTATAGTAAATCCCATTGAATCACTTTGTAAATGTCAAATTAGTCAATGATTAAATACTGTTAAATGAATCAGTGCTGCTAAATCCTTTAGATATAAACTGTTGACCAAGTCTGGGAATGGCAGTGAATCAGCTGCACCTAGACCCCTTTCTGAGAAGGAGTTTAGAAAGAAAGCGGGTCCATTCTGAATCTCGCGACCCAAAGGGAGAGTCCCCCTCACCGCTTTTCATCTCTGGTCTCTGTGTAAATCATTCTAGCTCGATTTTAACTTGATTTTCCTTTGTATGTTTCTTCCATGTAATAAGTAATAGAGTGAATCTTGCCATCAAACTTTGTTAAGTCACATTTTTATAAATTCGTATTAAAACCATTTTTGCTAAGACCTTTGACAGTGATTCTTTGAGGGACACTAAACCACTCATTTGCAACAAACTGTTGTCATGTGCAGGATACTAAATCAGGATTCGTGACAAAGTGGCCTCTTCCCTTTTTCTCATCAGTAAGTTCTTCAAACACTCACAATTTGTGCGGCAGTCTCTAATGTAACTCAACATCAGCCCTCAGAACTCCTTTAACACAACTTCCCCTGGTTCTAACACTTCGGTATATGAAAGGCAAAAGACAAAATGCAACATCAAAAGTACGCACAGGTCCCACCTCTGTCTCTGATTCTTCATTTCAAGTCTTGTTGAACCTTATACAGTAGTTTCATTTTACTCTGGCAAAAATCAAGTTGTACTTAGATCTGAAAATTCTCCTTTATCCCCTACGCTGTCTTTCAGCAAGAGGAGAGGAATGCAAGGAAAGCATTTTCTTCTTTGTAGGCTGATTCCTAATCTAAGTCTCAAAAAGCTTTTCTTCCGGTTAGAAGAGAAACTTTGCCTATAAACCCCTGATGCTGTGCATCCTCTTTCTCCCACAAATATGGAGCTTGTAGTAGAGGCAAATTTCTGTACCTGTAATTTTAAAAGTTCCAAGACTACAAAACACTCTGAAGTTCTGAACTGACAAGTTCCAACCGACTTACTTATTAATTCCCTCTCAATTTCTCAACACTTTCCTGTCTTAAAGATTATCAGCTTTTGCTATGGATGAGCTTTATGCTTCCATTTAAACTCATCTCACAATAACACTGCAGTCCTTAGACACAGACTATGTTTCTTGTAATTTATTTGGAGCAAAACAAAAGTGAAACATCCTAGATAATTTTAGGCAGTACAAACTATCCAGTTAACAAAGAAGGGGAAACTTTCCAAGCTATCATTCAAACTAAAGCCATCAAGCATTTGTGTGCTACAGTATAAAGAAAACATAGAAGCTCTTAAATAAGTAATTAGTATATTGCTATGATGTTTTAATCAGTAATGTTAACTAAAGTAAAAAGAAGCCTGTTCATTCAGCTCCCAGAAAAAAAAGCTAGAAATGTGATGCAGTTGTTTGCTACTCTCCTTTTGGTTTACTCCCCAATTTTTTTTTTCTGTCTTTTTGCCCTGTGATCAGAGGACTGTCACATCACTCTCAGTAATGAATCACATTTCAATTATTTCTCCTTTTCCGGTGGAGCAGTAAGCTTGGGGATTACAACTCAGAACAACTGCTTGCACTAAGTATGCTAGATTTCCAAGAAAGGAGCAAAGTATTAAAAACCCCTTCAGCTGAATCAGGTCGAAGGCAAACCTAACGCTCCTCTCTACGTGCTTCATCAATGGCCTCAAAGCACAAAGTCAGAAGCTACGCTCTGCTCAGTTCTGCTGGACATGCACACCGCTGCTACTGGTGAACGTGTTCTCAGCACAGTATCCTTTGCTGTCTTTGCGGTTTACTACATGTGGATTAGAACACTAAATTAGTTGCAGTTCAAGTTGCAGCAACAAAAACTAGCCATCTGTTAATAGCAGCTCTCATTCATTACCACCCCCCCCGCCCCAAATCCATACCTAGTTCCTTTACAGAAAACAAAAGGCCAGTATACAGGAATGGTTTTGTGATTGCAAGTAATTCTCTATCACAGATTTATTACCGTAGACGCTGCTTTATTTTATAGCCTCGTCTCAGCAGAGGGGAGAAAAAACACCCTAGGGTAAGCAAAACCCCACTTCCTCCTCCCAAGTAAGCAAGATTAAAGGGAACAAAATCATCACCCCCACTCAATTTAATCAAGTTGAGCTTTAAAAGCATTTGCATGTTTATTGATCTTTCTCCCCATTACTCTTGGAAAGGAAGCTGGCTTCTTCCAGAGCTTTATCTCAAGGACTTGACTCAAAACTTTGCAACATTACCCTGCTGCACCCAGCACAGTGGGAAAAGATATCAGTAGTTCACTTCATGAAACCCAGCATTTTCTCAGCATGTAGAAAGCCCTTAGACCATTTCTATTCAAACTAGGCAGCCTTGGAATGACTGCCTTGCATTTGCAGTCAAACATCAAGTATTTAAAAGTTTCCTGATGGAAAAAGCATTTTAACAAGCTAAACAATTCATGCTGGTTTTCAAGAAGCAACATAACTGCCCCCCCCCACTTGACTGCATTTCACAAGTCCATCCATATGACCTTTCTAACCATACAGAGAAGTTACACCAGCCATACACAAGGCTACATGAAAAATACAATGCAGCACTACCTCAGAAAAAATATCTTAATACAAGGCCATCGATACAGCCAAACTGGTATATCAGCAGTGACAAAACACTGAAGCGAGACCAATGTTAAACTACACAGGATCCATTCGCATTTTGTGTGTTGGACATTGTATCCTCAAGATGCCACGTCCAGTCTGAATTAGTGTATTTCAATGTGTTGCACTCACATGTATCTTACAATTGTGCTCTCTGGATCAGCAATATGCTTTTTATTTTATAAAGCTTTACAATATTGTCTGTTACCACGCTAAAAAAAGATCCCCAAACACAGAACACTGTTAAAGGACGCAGAACTGGACATCATGAACATGGAGCAAGTGCCTCCTGCCTATTAAGTTTACTAAGAACTCTTTGCTTCAGGATCTTTTTTTCAGAAGCACAGGGAAGAGTTACAAAACATGGCTAAGCTAATTCAATGGCTTACCACGACCTGTCCTGCTTTCCAGCTACACAGTCCTACATATTCCTTTGCAACGGCCCATTAACAATCACGAAAAAGTCGGGCATTTAGTACAGGAATTCTAATGAAGAACAGCTACAACCACCCTGACAAAAAAAAAAAAAAAAAAACAAAACACCAAACAAAACAAA